AAATCCTTCTGAAGTGAAAGGCATGATCCTAGCTCGTTTCAGGTCAACAGGGGCCAACAGCGTGATCCGGAATAAAATTAATTATTATCCAGGTGAGTTTGGATGGAGGTCTGCAGCAACTCCGATACAAACTCCGAACTTTTCTCGAGCACCATGCAGCCCTGCTCCTTCACGCTGCTCCTCCGCTTCTCTGCACGACACCTCTGCACCCAACAGCACGAGAGGCACCCCTGGTGAACAACGAGACTGACCGGAGAGGCTGAAGTCGACACTGGTCCAGTCCAGTTCTGCTCCAGTTTGGCTCCGGCGCTCCACAGCATGAGAGACGAAGAGGCTGAAGTTGTCCCTGGCCCGGTTCTGCTCCGGTCCGGCGGCGCTTCAAAGCACCGGAGCGTCTCCTCAAGGCGAAAACAGCGATTCCACGGAGGTGGACAGTCCTTCGTTAAAAGTAACGGGCTGCTCACTGAAGCTGAGGCCGGATGTGTTGAAGACGAAGTCCCCCACAGCCAACTCGGTTCGGTTCTGGTCCAGTTCGAGGGTCACAGGTACACTTCCCCCACACCAATGAAGACACCACGAGGGCCAGTCCAGTAGAAAACCAGCGAAATACCACCCGGCGATTTTTGTCGGAACCAGGTAGAACCACAAAGGTCCAGATGAGAAGTTCGTTGGGGTCCAGAGAGGGAGAGAAAAAAACACCGGACCTACGTGTGATGACTCCCCAGCTCGAGGGGTCACCTGGCCGGCAGGGTGCGCTCAGAGTGACCGGTGGGGTGGGGGCGGCCGGTCCTGGACCAAAATATATTTTTGGACAGTCCCGTCTGACTCTCTCAGTCACTGAATACCGAATTCGGTTGGAAGGAGGACCAACTTTAGTCCGGTTCGAAAAAACGGGTCAGTTTGATGACAAAAGACTGCAGAGAAGCTGGAGGGAGCTGCTGTCCATCAGCTCGCCGGAAGTGAAGTGATTAAAAACATATTATGAATATATTAAAAACAGGAACATGTCTGTTGGTTTATGCCATGAACTTAGCAGGTGTTTGAAGCCATTTAACATTTTATTTTATTTTATTTTATTCATTTATTCATTCATTTAAAAGAAACAATAAAAAAATCAAAAAGAAAACATTGAATGAAAAGAGTGTAGATTAAGAAAAATATTTCTTATATCTTCCCCTTATTTAAAAAAATATAAAATAACTTTAAACAATCACTTAAATTAATCACTTTAATATCCACTTTAAAGCTAGGAATAAAAAAACATGTTTTGTGTTAGCAGAATTTAATTCTAACTTTAAAACTTATCCAACATTAATACAACTTACCTCAAGTTGCCTTTTTGGACATGCATGCATATATTTGTACAAATTGTACTTGAGAGGAGATTATTACAGCCTCGTTTAAAATCGATGATGATCATGATATCGGATCTGGATCGGTATGGGCCGATATTCAGATGTAGGTATCGGGATCGGATCGGAAGTAAAAAAAGTGGATCGGTGCATCCCTAATTGAAAGACCGAAATGCACAAAACTTGGCATGACTCATCCCGGTTGGATGCCCGACGATTCACTGTGGTCATATTTTGACGTCATCAAAGCCCCGCCCCCTCGTAACAGGAAGTCTCTTTTTTAAATTGGAATGCTCCCTCTTTGACACACTTGACCTAATTAGGATGATCCTGTGTTAGAAGACAGATAATATGGTCTGACTTCATTTAAGATGCAAACAGTTTTTGCTTGAGGATGTGGGCGTGGCGGCATGGCGAATTAAGAAGTGACGCCGTTGTAATACATTTGGCTCTAAATTGCACAGATTTCAGCTGAGGTGCAACAAAATCACTATGATCGACCATTATCTGCCCCTTGAACAGGTATCCATGATATGTGACCAATAGCCTCCATAACGCCACCTACATTATTCCTACAGTTATAGCTCAGTGATACATAATCTGATCTGCACCAGATTTATTGAGTGTCATCAGTGAGGACTTTTAGACACATTGAATTTGTGGTTTAACATATGACTCTAGTGCGCCCCCTAGATTATTCCAACATTTAGATCTTAATGATACATCATCCTATCTGCACCAGATTTTTGGTGCGTAATCTGTGAGCATTTTTAGACACATTGGTATTGTTGTTTAACGTATGACTCAAGTGCACCCCCTAGATTTTTCAAAATGTTATATCTCAATGATATATTATTCAATCTGCACCAGAATTTTTGGGTGTGATCAGTGAGCACTTCTATATACATTTGTGTTGTTATTTAACATTTGACTCAAGTGCGCCCCCTAGATTATTCCAAAAGTTATATCTCAGTGATATATCATCTGATCGGAACCAGATTTTGGCTGTGTCATTAGTGAACACTTATAGACGCATTGGTATTGTTTTTTAACTTTTGACTCCACTGCACCCCCTAGATTATTCAAACTGTTATATCTCTGTGAAATATAATCCGTTCTACGTCAGATTGTTGAAATGTCATTAGTGAGCACTTGTACACACACTGGTATTGCTGTTTAACTTTTGATTCCAGTACGCCCCTAGATTATTCCAATAGTTAGATCTCTGTGAAAGATCATCCAATATGTACCAGATTTTATGTGTGTGATCAGTGAGAACTTGTAGACACACTGATGTTGTTCTTTAACATTGGACTCAAGTGCGCTCCCTACAGTATTCCAACAGTTATATCTTAGTGATACATCATCCAATCTGAACCTGACATTTTGTGCTTGATCAGTGAGCACTTGTACACACATTGGTATTGTTGATTCATGACATAACTTAAGCCCCACCTACTCAGAGAAAAAAATGGTTGATTATTGAATGAGACTTCCAGCTTCACACTGTATAAGATATTAGTTTGAAACTTTGTTCACCAATTGTTGATTACCACATATGACATGTTGGAAAGCATAAAGGAAGTGCTTGTCAAACATTCACCACAAAACAGGAAGTCACCGTAACTCCTGTCTGGAAGGTCACATTTCGCCTATACTTGGAAGACCTGCAGCTGGACAAGTAACGAGAAGGACGGAAGGCCATGTCGAAGATTTGAGAAATGCTCCCCGTGGTAAACGCATGCGGGATTGGAACGACAGCGTTCGCAATGGCGACTGGGTGGACTAACTGCAGCTCACGCAGTCGCCATAAGGCCGGAGCGGCACTTTGCTGCGAGGGCCTCCAATGCTGCTTGCAGCTTTAATTTTATACTGTAGCTGCTGCTAATCTGGACTGGGTTATACAAGTTGCTCATTTTTATAATAATAATAATAATAATTTAGTTTGATATTCTGCAGCAGGTTAGTCCATCAGTGGGAGCTCAGTAACATGGCTGCAGCATCACACGCTGGACATGTGGAAATGTGTTTCTATGAGGTTTTCAAACGTAAAACTCTCTTGTGAAAGTGTACCCCTGTGAAAAGAAAATTCATAACATTTACAGTATATTAAAGTTCATAAGTTTGATATTTATATACTGGTTGAAAATAGCCCTGTGAGAAATTCATAGTAAAGTTAATAAAAAGTAAAAAGTTCATAAAATTCAAATTCAAATAGAAGTTCAAATTTTTTCAAAGAACTCTGGCTAGTTACTGTAGCTCACATATAATATCCATCCATCCATTATCTTTACCGTTTATTCCATTTTGGGTCACGGGGGTCGCTGGTGCCCATGTCCAGCAATCACTGTGCGAGGGGCGGGGTACACCCTGGACGGGTCGCAAGTCCATCACAGGGCCACATAGAGACAAACGAGACAAACAACCATTCACTCTCTCACTCACACCTAGGGACAATTTAGAGTTACCAATCAGCCTAACATGCATGTTTTTGGTCTGTGGGAGGAAACCGGAGTACCCGGAGAAAACCCACGCATGCACGGAGAGAACACGCAAACTCCACCCAGGAGGCCCCTGGACTCTCAGTTTTCAAATCCTGCTTTAAAACTTACAACTATTCCCTAGCTTTCAACGCTATATGATCTGTGTTTGAACCTGTATGCTCCACACTGGGTTAGTCATTATGTTTATTATCTACGACTATTTTGTGTCAATATTTTGAATTTACTCCATTTTGTATTTTGCTTTGTGCGTTGCCTGTTTTCTGTTTGTACAGCACTTTGGTTGGCCTTATCGCTGTTTTAAGTGCTCTATAAATAAAATGGTATGGCATGGCATGGCATGGCATGGTATGGTATGGTATGGTGGATGGATGGATGGATGGATGGATGGATGGTTGTATGGATTTATAGATGATGGATGAATGTATGGATGGAATGCTCAATGATGGAAGGATGAATGAATGGATGGTGGATGGATAAATTAATGGATTGATGGATGTATGCATGTATGGATGATGGATGAATGGATAGTTTGATGGATGATGGATGGATGGATGGATGGATGGTTGTTTGGATGGATGAATGGACAAATGTAAGGATGAATAGATGGATTGATATATGCATTTATGGATGAATGGATGAATTTATGGATGGCTGTATGGATGATAGATGAATGGATTGATCAATGAATTAGAGATCTGGTTCTGCTGGAGGTTTCTTCCTTTTAAAAGGGAGTTTTTCTTTCCACTGTCTCCACTGTGCTTGCTCAGGGTGAGAGAATGTAACGAAGCCAAGATTCAACTTGTCTGCTGAATTCCTTAGATAGAGAACTTTACTAAGTGGCTTTTATGTGAATGTTCCTGTAAAGTGCCCTGAGACAATTTTGTTGTGATTTGGCGCTATATAAATAAACTGAATTGAACTGATGTATGGATGGATTGATGGATGACGGATGGATGGATAATGAATAGATGGATGAATGAATGGATGATGAATGGATGGATGATGAATGGATGATGGATGGATGAATGGATTAAAGCTACTTTGCTAAATAAAAACAACACTACACTCAGATTGTTGTGCCCTGTGCTGGTTTTGTTTGATTCATCTCTTCCAGCAGTTTCCCCAGGTGCTCTGAACATCTTACCATCCGGTGAATGCCAGTTCTTCTCCTAGTTCATGCTGCTCTGGCATCTCTGTGTCCTCAGAGAGACCTCCCCCTCCTTCAGTTGTACCATTCATCTGTCCCAGTTCATTCAAGGAAAGCACAGACTTTCTGCAGACAACACACAAATAACAGGTGGAGGTATAAATGTATTTTTGTCCTTGTAAGCTTTGATCAATGCCGGCATAGAGGCATGATTACATCATTTTATCTCTTGCTTTCAATCAGGAGCTCATTTTGCTTTTAAGTCTAGAGCTTTGATGAAACAAAGTGATTTTGCTGATAACCATCACACGTATTGTTGCTTGTGCTAGCACAGCAGCTTGATCTTTGAGAAATTCTAACCTTTTGTCAGCTGAAGGGATTTTTTTCGGTGGCTCAATACGAATTTTAGGATCCCATTCTCCAGGTGGAAGCACGATCACTTCATCTAAAAACTCATCTATGCCAGCTATAAGGTCCTCCCGATCTCTGGCTTTGTAGGCTACATCACTGAAAAGCTGAGGAAGGGACAAAGAGAGAGACTTTTTCACTTGAACAATAATACAACTGATCAAGACACTATACCGGAACTTTTAAGATAAAAGGCAGCATGTAAATGGTAAATGGTAAATACACTGTAATTATATAGCACCTTTCTCTCTTATCAAGACACGCATGGATCTGGAAATTTGTGAAGAAAAATGTTTTTTAAAAAATGAATACTTGAGCTTTCAACAATTTTCTCCTGAACAGGTTCATAGTATCTGAACTTTCAGATGAAATAATTTGATGGTTTCAACTTTATCTTGTAATAAGGTCAATGGGTTAGAGCTAACTCCACATCCTATAAACTGTGTAAATGTGCTGAATGGGAATTCCACAAGGTTCAATTTTGGGCTCTTTTCTTTTTGGTGACATAATAATGACCAGAGAGCTGTAAAAAAGCTAAACATCAAATGTATGCAGACAACACAACTGTATATGTGTCTGCAAAAACTTCCCAGACAGCAGAAGAATACAGTCTGAAGACAGGGCTGGCGTGTCACAATATCTTCAAATTAATACTTTACCTTTGATTTATAAATAAACAATATTGATGTGCTTTTTGATTGACAAGAAAGTCCAAAACTCTGGAATAAATATTAATAGGAAAATTGTAGACGAGTTCAAATGTGTAGGAATTTCTGTAGAATTTAATCTTAGGTTTCATTTACATGAAAACAGACTGTGCAACACTGTCAGACCTAATTCGATTTCCCTCTGTTTCAATAAACAGTGTACATCGCCTAAGGCAACACAACAATAAATTCAAATATTCCTATCTCTCACATTATTTGAGAGTTTTGGCACAAGCTAATCAAACAAGCAGTACATCTATGTCCCTTGCCACTGAGGGATTTGAACAGTGGATGTTTGTTTTTGAAATGAGTGTTTTTATCTGGACTGGAACTGAACAGAGAATGAAGTAAACCTTAATTATTTTGGTGCACAATAATCAAGTGGGTAAGTTTTTGTACTAGACCAAGGCAGCACAGAGTGATGGAGCCTGACGAATGGAAAGATACATTTACCCACCATCAGGTGCAACTGTGGAGTGCGGGGGGGGGGGGGGGGGGGGTTAATGGTAGCCTTGGAATCATTTAAGGAAAATATACTTTTAAGCAATATAAAAACTGCAAAGTGGTGGCCATCTTGGATTTTGACTTGGCAACCCAATTTAAAAAAAAATGTTTAAGACTAGATGCAGGCACACAACAAAAAGGCGCTGGTACCTCACTCATTTTTAAGTTATCATTCATTCAACCTTTATTTCTACAGGTAAATCCCATTGAGCCTCGAGGACTCATTTACAAGAGAGACCTGATTTCAACAAAGATTGCTGATAACAATGGACAACAGTGACAACAATTGACAAATATAAAAACGCATACAGATTTTATTTTATTTTTCTACAAATAAGATGGCAAAAAAGTAACAAAAACAGTTAGATTCTAAGGCGAATGTAGAAAACTAAAAACAGGAACATATCTGCATTAGTCCTTGCCAGGAGTCCAACAGATTAAATCATCGTTATAAATTATCATGCTCACAACATACTTTTGTGAATAATCATGTATTTCTGTTTCTCATGTGAAAGGTTACTGTAACAATAAGCCATGCATCAAGTCACTGAAAAAATTAATGAGAAACATACATATTTTAAAGAGGGAAATGCTGAGAAAGGAAAATAAGCCAAGAAGCTGGTTAGAACATAAATTAAAAAAGTTAAACTTATAAGGAAAAACTTGAACAACATTTTAAGAGTAGTCCTTTAAAAATTAATCTTATATCAATCAAGATGGCAGCGCACGCACATGCTACAGCTTCTCTCTCTCCCGACAAAACTGTGTTTTCGGGGGGGGGGGGGGCGGTCCTGCAAGCCGCAATGTGCTTGTACGTCTTTGTCATGTCTACATGTCTTAAAATGCAAGTATAGCCATGAGTTCCTGCTTGATGTCGGAAAAACCACACTTTTAGGAATAAACAGCAAACTCGAAGAAGAGCTACGTGACTGTGACCTGCTCTGGAAGCCAGTACCATCACAGAACCTCACTCCTTCATCATGCCCACAGTGAAAGTGCCATAAGTGGCACGACAGGAAGCAGAAGCGGGGTAAGCGCGGAGGTATCCGAGCTAGGCTAGCAGCTAGCCCACACAAGATGGCCGTCCCATCCATTGTTTGGGCTAATGTTGGTTCGTTCAACCAATCAGGAAGTTCTCAGAGGAACCGGAAGTGACCTCTTTAAAAGGGTCGACACTTCCTAGTTCCAAGCAGAACAAAGTTCCAAGCTGAACAACGTTCCAGAGCAGAACAAGAGTTCCAGGGAGAACCTCGAACGAGAAGTTCCTGAACGAGAAGTTCAGAGGAACAGAAGTTCCGAGCAGTTTCTAATGGAGTGACGAGAGTCCGTCGATGCCACAACGTCTCGCTGTGGCTCTACCCGAAGAACGCTCTGAACAATGAGGAAGTCTGTTCTGTGATGATCTCACGACTCCTGAGGTCACAGCTGTTCTTACGGAGACGCTGAAAAAAGTTGAAAGAAAACTCTACACCGGAGCCGAAACTATCGTCTGCAAAGGTAAAAGAGTCGATCTTCACTTGCGAGTGTACCGTGGGTTAAGCTGCGTCCAAAGGAGCGTGTTGTTCTGGTTATACAGACACATTCCCTCACCCATCTCTCTCCATTTAAACTTCATTTTCCCATCTTTAAAACTCTTCTATCTGCCATTAATTAATCCAGATATTTTCAGAAATGTCTGTTGTATTTCAGTTGCAAGTGTGAAATCATGGCCATATGATTTCTCATTGTAAAGCTCATTAATTAAGCTGTGTTAATTGTAATCAATCTGCCAATTATTGTAAATGTGTGATGTGTTTAAATCGTTTTTAATTAAACGACTCACTGTTTTGGTGGGTCAAAGATAAAACACGTTTCCGTCCACATTTTAATCATTCAAGGCACGATAGTACTCAGTCCAGAAAAATGAAAGAATCCATTTAAATAAAGGATAATATCAGACGCATATTATCTCTCATTACACTGCTGATGCCAAAAAGCAGAGTCCCTGCTATTATAAGTCCAAATATGTAAACATCTTCAACATCTTCTTGAGACAGAACAGAGAGGCACATCATCTGCCACATTCCCCATGAATCCATGACGTACCCCACAGCGTGAGTCTCAGCTGGACATGCCGGTTCCCCAGGACCTTGTCGCTTTGACGAAAAAATCTTATCAATAGAGTTGAACGCCCACGATACCAAATCCATAATCTTCTTAATTTATGTTCGGGAGATGAGACCCAGGCGCTTCAGAAAGAAAGACAGCAGCGCAGGAAGAAGGAAAAAAACGGGGGGAGGAGAAATTGAAGCTGCCAACTCGGTCAGAGCCTGGGAGGAAAAGACCTGGACCTATACCTGGACCTACCATTCTATGTTCGTCTGTCTCTA